ACTCACCTCAGCCTCCCAAAGGCGCGGGATTACAGTCTGAGCCACCGAGCCCGGCTTTGCACCAGTTTTAATGTCAACTTCCTCTTGTATTTAGTATCAGCTTCCTTCTATAGCTAGTTCTCCTAAGTAGGAGAGGCAGAAAACCCAGCCGTGGCATGTACACCCATCCTCCAGGCTGGCTGGGTCAGTGTAGGACTTGTTCCCATTCCTGGTATAATAACATTCACTAGGGGAGTGCAACACATTAATTGGCTTAGCTGAGTCTCCTGGGATGAAAGGACGGTCAGGCGTCAGCAGTGACATCCACCAAACGAATCGCATGGCCTTGGGACGGCTTCTTTGGGTATCTGAGTCTCAGCTTTCTCATTCATATAATGTGGATAAATATGGCGCCTACCACAGAGTGGGGTTGCAAGGAACCAGCGTGATGCTGCCAGTGAAGTCCTCAGCCCGGTGCCTGGCGTAGGGTGAGCGTCAGTACACGTTTATCATGTTCTCCTGCTCTTTATACCCTCTTTTTAAACAGTTGTCAACTAGCCTGCTGGTTCTGCCCATGCCAGCTCCTGCCTCTTCATAGGACACACTGTCCTTGGTGGGACCCTTCTGGTTGCATCTGACGACTCCAAGGAGTTGCATCTCTCTTCTTCCAAAGAGAGGTTTCAGTCCCTAGACTTCAGAAGAGCTGCTGAGCAGTCACCATGGGAAACAGAAAGGCGACTAGACCTCAGAACAGCCTCAGCAAGACTCAGGTGCCCAGGCCTCTCTCTGGGCCAGTCGCCATCTCTTCCCATGGGCCTGCCTTTTCCTCACAAGGGGAAGTGTGGCTGCCATGTGAGGATGGCACTACGGATGTGGACCCCACACCTTGGGCTGCTCCCTCCATCCCAGGGGAGAGCTCCCAGAGGCCAGCTCTGGCCAGGGACCGCTATCAAGGCTGGACTGGTCAGGTGGCCTTCAGATAAAAGGCAGCTTCTGCTATTGTCACGTGAGGAGGTGCTGGGTAGCAGTGTCACAGCCATCTGCCTCTCACACACACCTTGTTAAAACAGTCTTGGAAGACATGTCATAATAATTTCAGTCAGCGTTACAGAGTGCCCACTCTTACCGAGTGCCAGGTGCTGTGCTAAGTTGCTATGGACAATCTCACTTAACTCTCTCACAGATGTGAGGTGGATACTATTATTATTATTATTATTATTATTATTATTGCCAACTGACAATGGAGGAAGTTGAAGCATGTGGAGATCAAGGAAATTACCCACAGGATATTATGCCACAAATTGGTGATGGAACCCAAGCTTAAACCTCTGCAGAGTTCTCAGAACTCAGGCTGGTAATGACCATGACTCAAATAGTGAGCACCTCTGGGTGTCCAGTAGTGATTTCGGCAGGAGGCACACAGTGTTACTGCAGGACCAGTCCAAACTGGCCCTACTCTGTTGATAACAGAATGTCACGTCAACCTGTAAGTGGAATAGCCAAAACCGCAATCATGTAACCCAGGCGTGGACGATAGAAAAAGCTTTAACATTTAACAACATTTCCTCCCCATGTAACTGAGAGCTTAGGGAGAAGACTGGAGCCTGAATGTCAGAACCCTTTCAGAAATGAGGGGTCCATTGGCAGGAAATCTGGGTCTAAAGTTTGCCTCAACATACCTTCCTAAATGATCAAATTTGGAGCCCTCCAATCAGACCCTACCAACCCAACATTCTTGATACTTTCCCTTGCCCTCTGACCCCTTAAAACATGCCCTAGACTCCAAATCAGGGAGACAGATTTGATCTGCCCCTCCCCTCTCCTAGCTTTTCTTTTCTCAAAAGCTGATGGCATAGTACTGCTTCTGTGCACATTGGGGTGGCAAGCCTGTTTACACTGTAATGACAGGGGTGAAAAGTTAGACCCAAATCCCTGAGCTTGGAACTTGCCTTGTAGTGAAGATAACCGCCCCTTCCACATACCCATTTTCATTCACACCTGCTGTCCCGGCATGGTTTTTATTAGTGCCCCTCTTCACTCCCCAGGATGTCTTGGTTTAGTCATTCAATAATGTGGTCACCTTAATCCTTGTAGAGATACTATAATCAAACAATAAGCAAAACAATTAAAATATGTAGGATGTCAAATCATGATGGGTGCTAAGGAGAGAAAACATAGACCCCCCAAGGTTGGGGAGAGAATTCTGACTTTGTAATGGGATTTTGAGATAAGGAGTGGGGAAAACAGCTCCAGGATTTGGAAAAAAAGAAGAATCTTACCTCTTTGACATATATTTTTTTAAAAAACTTTATTTACTGTCAGTTTATTTAAGCATGTGATTGGTTTGGAGGTAGGTGGTGTTAAATGTCGTAGCATTGAATGTTGAGGAGATGGTTCCCATGAAACTCACCGTCAAGCCAGAAGCAGACAGCTTTGGCGCACCTGGGCACATTCAGGAAGGGAGAGGCGCCAATTACTTTCTAAACTGTTACATCAGCAGGAAAGAGGTCGAGTTACATACCCTGACCTGGGTTCTCCTATATTGCATTCATACTTAACCCCAAAGGCAAAAAAACAGGTGAAGTGTTGACCCCTCTAGCTGCAAAGCAGCTCTACCTTGAATAAGCAGAAGGCACCGGACCAAGAAACAGATGTGGATGGAGGTACAGGGCCTGTGTACTGCAGAAGGAGAAGGTGGCGCACCC